CATTGTGAGACCCCTCTAAATTCACCACTGATGACGCTCTTGCATTGTTTTTCAGAGGTCTGTTATTTGCTGCTATAGTCTCATTTCTATTCATAGTATTAATGAGATGGCTGGCTAGGATTATGGTATTTGTCATCATATTTGTTGTGATGGGTCTACTTGCTGTTGGTAAGACTTTTTTTCTCTTTCTTAAAGCGGGAGGGTCGTCACCTGCGCATGCCCGGGAATTAAGTCCCAAGCGACGATAACAACACATGCTAAAAACGCAAAGGCTCATAGGCAGACGGTTGTTTGTAAACAATGACACGCTATGGCCATCTGACTTCCCCGCTTTAAATTGACTTTTAAAGACCATTCGCTGGTGAATTTTAGAATTGATTAGACCAACAACAACAATTAAATCTTTGTTTATTTTGTGTTAATATATCAAAATATTATCATTTCAAAAATTTTTCATTTCACATATGTGTTGATGCTCTAACAGAAGCTGCATCCCCTCTGTTGCATTGAACCATTTTAATAGAAGCCACAGTTTATAAGACAGATTTTACAGTAATTGTGCTTGTCTTGAATTTCTCAGCTGAATCATCACATATCCTTTGTCATTTTTTAGTGACTGTGTATTGTTTTTACAATTACAATGAGTTGGTAGAAGCAGAAGAAAATGGACAGATCACTGACTATGATAATTGGGAAACAATGTCTAATATTTGGCTGGGAGTTGGTATGTACCGTGACATCACCTTGGCTATCAGTATAGTCATAACTGACCAATCATTTTAAAGGATTACCATCATGTGACCAATATCAACCAATGATGTTTAACAATTCTTATCACATGATTTTCATCAACCAATAATAATAGTTGTTTATATGATAATTTGCATGCAACCATAACTTTCAGCATTCTAATTGTTCAGAAAAGTTTGCAGTTTCCAGATTCTTTAAATAAATTTCTGTTTTCAAATACTGAAACATTTGATTTTTTTTTTTTTTGATTTTTCCAGGTATTGCATTGGGTATTATTTTTCTGATATTGTTTCTGCTTCTATTATTCCTGAGAAAAAGGATAAAACTAGCAATTGCCCTGATAGCTGAAGCCAGCAGGTTTGCTTAATAGTATATTGCTATCTAACCTCATCAATAATCATGTTTTTATTACTGGTAAACTTTCCGTTTTTATGCAATCTGGGAAGTTTGAATTACTTAACGAATTACAGGATGACGAAGTTGAAATATCCAAGAACCAGCTCATACCAAAAATTATATCTCAAAAGTGAATATTCTTGGTGTATTTTAAGTCTCACTGGACCGGAAATGGGAATTTGTTACTACTCTAAATATCCAAGCATATTTTAGTATAAAGTAGTAAAAAGAATATTTAATATGTGTGCAGTACCCCGGTAGTTACCCCCCCCCAAATATACTCCATGAAATATCCTTGTATTTTTCTAGGGCTATTGGTTATATGATGTATACACTCTTCTTTCCATTGATTCCATTCGTTCTTGAAATCTTTGTATTGGTACTCTGGGCAACACTGACATTGTATCCTTTATATTTTACCAAAAAGTGTAATTGAAGCTTCTAAGTTGCAGAATGCACCTTCAACTTTGAGCTTTTTGTGCCGTTCCTTATAGTAAAGCTTATTTCTCTGCCAATCGTATGCCAGTATTAGGGAATGCACATTACTGAGGGGGGGGCAAGGGGGGTAGCTGGTACAGTTTTACGGGAAATAAAAAGGGCTTTTTTACAATTTACAAGGAAAAAAAGACGTTTTTACAGTTTACAGTGAAAATTGAATTTTGCAGTGAATTGTGTCATCTAGTCGTTTCACAGTTTCGAAAATGTAGTTTCCCTGGATTATTCTTTACGACTTTTTTTATTTGGATGTAAATTCTTGTACGTACCAAGAAAAATTACACATTTTTACAGTGTACAAAAAAAATATTTGATTGATTACGTTGTACGTCTAGCCTGTGATTACAGAATTACGGAATTTATTTTTTCAATTTACGTTGTACGAACAAAAAAATATTGCAATTACGTTGAACGAAAATAACCCTTGCCCCCCCCTTTCATTACTGTATGGTGATAACAGGGCATGAATTATAATTCCTTAAAATGTTGATAAATTGAATATATATTTATGCTGTGATTGGTTGGTTAAGAATGTTTTGTTTAGCGTGTCTAATACTGTAAAGGGGGTAATTATTCACTGGGTTTTAATTTAGCTTATTTCGCTGACTGGAAAATGCGCTAAATTAAAACCCAGTGAATATGTAAAATTTAGCATAGAACACATTATCTAAATGACGAAACCGCGAATTTAAAACCCACTGAATATGCCTGAAATGGTAAATCAGTGAAATTTAAACCCAGTGAAAATTAGTCATTTTACAGTATTTTAAATTTAGAAGACTACTGTAAAATCTGTATTAAAAGCCGCGTTTTTCATTAAAATGGTACAATGCAACAGAGAGGATGCAGTTTCTATTAGAACATCTACAAGTATTATGAGAAATTGGTATTTTTTTCGTTATTTTATTAGGGACCCAGCTTCTAATACAGATTTTACGGTATTATCATAATACAATCAGTCGCAAGACGTACCAAGAAAAGATTTATAAAATTTGAGTTGTGAGAAATCACAGTCTGCCCCAACAATATTTGTTGTGTTTAAAATCTACTTTCTAACAATATGATGAGTTTTATGTAATATTCATTAAATAATTATAAAAAGTTTAAAATTAAATGATGTTAAAGCATCACAATCATCGCACCAAATACGTTTGATGTGGGTCCCATGCTACATGTGTAAAATATATTCAATTTGTTAGTTTACATGATAGTCAAGAACTGTAAGTTTTTTATGATATCAAAATTTGATGATATGACATTTCATAATATATTTTCAATTTAAAAAAAAAAAAAATTAAATTTGATTTAACAATAGATTAATTTCTTAACTTGAAACAAATATTAGTTTCCTGGCAACCATTAGTACACCGACTTACACCGTCCAGAATGCGTCACCAGATTTTCATATGGCAAATGGAACATCTTGTGAGCCAGATGTAAGTTCTTTTTATTTGTATAGGTTAAATTGTGTAGACACAAAACACTCTTCAGAGATACAAACTGAAAATCCTATAATTGGATGCCATTTTACTTTTGTCATTTTTCACAGAATAAAAAATACTAATAAATGATAACTTTTTCCATCTTTTTTTTTTCTAAAATTTGATCAAGACCAAGATATTTATTTCATCTATGGTTTAACAAAGAGATTTATTGAAAAGCACACGATAAAATATCATTATTTTGGCAATGCGAAGAAATGGCTCACACACATAGACAATTTTGCTTTTGTCACTGAAATTTTATAATTTTGTAACATCAAATTTTGTTATTCATTTCATAGAGTTTTTACAATATGAGCGGCCTGTCAGATACTGCACGGTGTGTCTGGACAGGGGACTATTATTGGGAATCTTATATATGGGTTCTTCAGTTCTACAATCTCTTTGCATTGGTCTGGTTACTGAATCTTGTGATGGCATTTGGGGAAATGTCACTGGCGGGAGCCTTTGCTTCATATTATTGGGCGTTTACCAAGCCTGACGATATCAAGTCTCTCCCTGTGATACGATCAATGTGGCGCTCTATCAGGCAAGTCATTTGCATATATGAAATATTGGTATACTGTGAAATACTTTATTTTAGCTGGAATTAATTTTCGCTGAAAAACACTCTTTGGGTGTTTTGTATGCAATTTATTTTCACTGATTTTTGGCGAGTTAAATGTAAAATATAGAAAAAAAAGTATATTCGCTGGATTTTATTTTCACTGAATCATTACCTCAGCGAAAATAGCGAAAATAAAGTATTTTACAGTAGTTGGGTGTATATAGTGTGGAACTAAAAAGGTTTGAAAACAAAAAAACGAGTAAGAGTAAAAAAAAAAGAAAAAAAAAGAGTAAAGAAAAATCACATTGTTTCAGTTCTACACATAGTAAAAAAAATAATTTGCGCCAATATTCCACAATCTCTCAAACAGTTTGTAATGTTCAGATTTTTCTGAACACAAACTTTCAGTTCTAAATTCTGCGAAAGAATAAGTATAACCTTGGTTTTATTTATACCTATTTTCTCTGATAGCTATAGGTACTTATCGGGTAATATTGCAACCTAGTTAATAAGAAATGTTAAATATAGAGTGTTTTGTTTAATTCACAAATCAATGCTTTTTAATCTTCAATAACAAATCCTAATTTAATACATCTTCGACTGATGCACTTTATTTGGCTTGTCTGTTGAGTCTTTCAGCGACCAGGCAATACGATGAGCGTACAACAAAAATTGTACTAAGCAATTAATGCATATAGATTATTTGGTGTGTACAGTGTATATAGTTTTAGAAAGGGTACTGATGATATTTATAATAGATGTGCATATTTACCAGGTATCATCTAGGTTCTCTAGCATTTGGTTCTCTGGTGTTGACGTTTTTACGATTCATCAGATGGTTTCTACAACTGCTGGAGAAAAAATTCAGTAAGTATATAAATAGCTGCACAAATGCTGCAACTTAATTGTAACATGTATAGAAAAAGCTACACAAATGCTGCAACTTAATTGTAACATGTATAGCAAAAGCTACACAAATGCTGCAACTTAATTGTAACATGTATATAAATAGCTGCACCAATGCTGCAACTTAATTGTAACATGTATATAAATAGCTGCACCAATGCTGCAACTTAATTGTAACATGTATAGCAAAAAGCTACACAAATGCTGCAACTTAATTGTAACATGTATATAAATAGC